CCCCCTCCCGGTCAGCATCGCAGCCCCTCGATCGGAGGTCCAGGCGGTCCGGTCAGTGGTCTGGGCCAATGTCTCAGTCCTTCAGGTCATTGACCGGGGTGTGTGGCCGGCGCCTCCTGGTCCGCCTGTGGCCGGGAGCTGTCCTCAGCGCACCCTCAGACCGTGGCCGGCGGGCTAGAAGGTCGGGAGACCCTCCAGCCCGCCGTCTCCAGTCTGGAGATCGCCAGGCGACTCGGCAGAGATGGCTCGGAGGGCGCACAGGAGATCCTCGGCCTGCCCACTGCCCACATCCATGGGGCAGCGATGCCCCGACCTGCTCGACTCAGCCTGACTCGCAGAGCCCCGAGCCGCCATTTGACTCGACTCGACTCTCCGAGCCGCCGTTTGACTCGACTCGACTCGCCGAGCCGCCGTTTGACTCGACTCGACTCGCCGAGCCGCGTTTGATTCGACTCGACTCGCCGAGCCGCCATTCGACTTGACTCGACTCGTCGAGCCGCCATTTCATTCGACTCGACACGGCGAGCTTGGCTGGCCGCCGGTTTGGATGAATAGCTCGACATAATGATGCTCCCCGCGCGTGGCAGGCAATTGTGTGAGGGCTGCGAGCTTGTGTACACGCCCCACTTCACCGCCGTAACTGAACATAACGTCAAGAAGGCAACAAGGTGGCACACAGTCAATTTTATCGGTGTGGCGATCGATCGATCCATTGGTCCTCTTTAACTGTAGAAGAGTTTAACTGTAGAACCTTAACTGTAGAGCTGCGCATTCGGTCCTAACGTAAACGTGAGTACCAAATGCATAAAATCGCATAGTATAAAATGATATGCTGCAAGATGCATCTAATGCACATAACATGAATCGTGGGTAGCATGTGGATGAAATTCCTTGTGTTTGTTTTTGTATTATGTTAAAATTTTGTTTTACATTTGCAAACATCTTTATTGACAAGAGCCCAGCCGCCGTGTGCTGGGACTCACGCCCAGCAAGTGTGACCAACATCACGGGCGCGCCACCATCTCTCCTTGCCCCTGATCTGCGCCTGGGGGGCTGTCTCACGAGCCGTCGAGTGGAGACTGTCACGTGACCTGCCGCCGGGACTGTCACGTGAGCTGTCGCCAGAGCTGCTCCCGGCGGCGCCAGGGCGGCGAAAGTCGCTCGCGCTGCCGCGCCGGGGCGTCACGGTCCCGCGTCACGGACACGGCGCCAGCCCGGCACGCACTCTGTGACGAAAGGTGACACCGACTGCGCGCACCGCCCGCTTCCGAAGACCTGTCGCAAGGCGCCAGTGGCGGACCCAGTCACGGCAGAGGAGCGGTGCTGGCTCCAGGAGTCAGCGGCGGAGCCAGTGATGGCAGAGGGGCGATGCTGGCTCCAGGAGTCAGTAGCGGAGCCAGTCATTACCGAGGGACGATGCTGCCTGCAGGCGCCAGTGGCACGGTGGCCATCGGCCGGTAGGCGGAACGTCCCCTCTTCATGACCCGGGGGCAGAGACAAGCTGCTGAGCACTGGTGCTGTTACGGCACTGCCCAGGCAAAGACAACGAGACACGGAGGGAAAAGCGACGGTGGTCTTGTATGTGGTTGCATGGATGTAGCCTCCACTAGATGTTATGGTGTCGTGGAGGGGAGATGGAGATTCACGGGTGGTTATGTGACCTGAAATGGTGCTTTTAACGGGATGGAGATCGCGAGTACTCACGTATGCTCAATGCTGGGCGCAAACTCTTGCTATTGCAAATATGGAGAGGGCGTATGTCCCCGAGTCGCTTAGTGGTGACGCACAAGACAGCAAACCGCTGAGTGGCTCAGTTGAGACGCAGTTGGAGTGAAATGAACTGTTGAGAGAGTGGTCGCTTAGAGCGATTAAGCAAGTGGCTTTTCATTGGCCATCGATTGGTTGAATGTATATGTCGCGCTACACACAGAGCGCACCACGAGTGCTCGTACAAAAGGTTTCGAGGGCCATTGACAGGAGGAAGGTGATACCACTTCAGACCGTGCGAAGAGGAGTGTTACGTCAATAGAGCACTTCACGACATGCGGCTGGTAACGACACGAACCCCGGTTTCAGCCGATAGCATGACCACATGCCACCAAAGACCATCGGATGTTCACAAAGCGGCGAGAGGCCCGTCACGATCCGGGCAGCGGCGTCCCCTCCGGCCGACTCTGCCCGCCCCGCTGAGTCTGAGAGCGTGGGCAGCGGGCGGCGCCCCCCCCCCTCCCCCGCCCCACCGGCCCGTCTCCTGGCGACGCTCCTGCCTGCCGGCGGCTTCCACGGCTTTCTAAACAACAATGGAAGCCATTGTGGCGGCGCGCACATTGTGCTCTGCTGCCAAATGGAATGCGATAGGCTGGCGAGGTCCCCCTGGTGACGTCCCCTGCACGGATCGACGGAGGAGAGGGCTCGGATCGGCGGTGGCCCCGGCGCGTGGCAGTGACCTAATTGTCACGCCCCAGGGCTCCGGCGACCTCTCGTGGTCCGTCGCTTGAAGAGGCGCTGCCCGGGGCGGGGCGAGCAGCCTTCATGCGGGGGTGCCAGTCGCCCTGTGATCACTTGAGCGGCTTCTAGCCTGCTGGGAGGCCGGCGCTGGCGCGCGTGCCTCGGCCCGGCGCCGCGCGGGTCGCCCAGCGGGCGGTGACCTTTGGAGGGCGTCAGGCCGCCGGCCCCGGCGGGACGGTGGCTGGTGTGACCCGGCCAGGAGCGCCGTCGGTGGTGCTGTTCCGCTCCGGCTCGCGCCGGGTGCGGTGGGACCGACACGCCCCCGCCCCGCCGGCCGCCTCAAGGTGAAGCCGAGCAGGGCCCGCGTGTCAGACCACCCGTGAACGGCTGAACGGCTGGCTGCGGCCCTCGGAAAAATGGGCCACCCTCGTTCGCTGCAGACAGATGCGTTTATTTTTCATCGCTTCCGAAAATACGGCGGCTTGTGAGGTGCCGTTGTGCCAGGTGACTGAGGTTTGTCCCATCGGGAGCATGTGAATCGGCGTTCATTGAAACGCTTTGCTATTTGTGGCCTGGTTGAATGGCTCCATCGGTTGGTTCATATGGTAAATGGGCCCATTAAATGCTGAACGTCACTGGGTACCGCGGTGCGAAGTTATGATCCAGTGGGTGGCTTCTTGTCGTGGTAGCCAGCATGCCGCACTGCTCCCAGCTCGCGCGGTGAGGATGCTCCCTGGAACCCATCTGTGCCTCAGGTCATGGGTATTCACTATGCTGCGGATGTTTGGCGTCTGGATTACCGCCCGTTTTACGGTCCTATCATCTTGTCCTGTCTTGGCATAACGGCCAGCTTTAATAGCCTCCTAATTTCGCCTGTGCCGTTTAGGCTGTGACTTCATCGCGTTGGCGGCGAACACTGGCGCGTTCCTCCGTCTCGATGAGGACACGCGGCGCCGCCGAGGTCTTCGTGCAGGAGCCAGCGGGATGCATGAGAATCCTCTCTCGGCGTGAGCGGCGCATCGCTGCCGACAGGGCGGCGATCTGTGCCAGGCACGGTCCGTCTCAGCGCGCGCCACGCCCGTCCTGGGGTGCCGCCGACCTGTGACCCGTCGCTGACCTGGGGTCACGCGGGACGCCAAGCCCGGCGGCGGGCGGACCCGAGGCTCCTGTCGGTCAGTGCCGAGCTCTGCACGTGCACGGCTCGCTCACCTGTGACTCCCGGTGCCTGGCTGGTGAGGCTGGGCACGGTCGACTCCTACCGTACCAGCCAGGGCTTGTGAGCGCTTGACCTCTGTGCGAGGGAGAACACGGCTGCGGTCGTGGAGGAGGGGCTGCGTCTCGTGTCTCGACACGCGCTCTGCTTGCAGTTGACAGCAAGCCTAGCGCACTCTGGCCTAGAAGCCACATCTCCCAGTCCATCATGTTATTATTGGCTCTGCTTGATCCGTGGGGAGTTTTATGCGTTGCTATTTCTACATAGGTAATGGAACTGGTGGGAACCCCTTACGCTTTGTTAACTAACGTATTAGAAGCGGAACAACTGAAAGACAGGAGAAGATCAAACAAGGCTTGTCATATTGTGCTACCATATTGAGCAGGTTCGCTTCCAACAACCACGGCAAGTGAAGAGAGTGGGTGCCGTGATAACGCATGATACGTGATAACGTGATAACGTGATGATAACGCATCAGCCTGTCAGCACCTGACCAGCGCCACTACGCGTGCACCAGCTCCACCGGTGGCGCACCCGCAGCAGAAGTACTCACTCGTGTCGGCTCCGAGTCGTGACAATCCCTCACGCGGCCGTGACCTTGACACGGAGAGGCCCGTGTCCCGCCTCCGCCCGGCTGGCGGCGCCGTCGGGCCTGCCCAGCGGCCGTCTCTGGTGGGCGGGGGTCACCGCCCCCCCCCCCCGCTCCGCCCCGGCGCGCGTCACGCGTGACAGCGTACAGGGCGACGTCAGAGTGCGGCGGCCGCCCCCGGTTCATTCAGCGCGCCCGCTGCCGAGCGCGCGCAATTCATTCATCGCGGCGCGTAATTACGACAGCCGCCGGCGCGGTCAGCTGAGCGACGGCCCGGTGACAGGGGCGCCGCCAGCGACGGCAGGGGCGGAGTCAGGCGCCTCGGACGCGGTGCTCGGTTTGGTGTCAGTCGGTGCACCGTGCCGGTGATGTGACATGTGCTGTGCTGCACTCAGCTGATGCAGAGATGATGTGGAGTCGAACGATGATGCATTGTCGATCATTGAAAAGAACGAAGCGTTTCGTGCGGCTGTGGGCAAGATCGCGACACTTTCTCGATCTAAGCGACCCTGTGTTACCTGTGAATCCTGGATCATGCGTATTTTGATCCCGAATACGGCTGTGCACAAGCAGGGAGGGGATCAAAACCTTAAATCACGTGGAAAAATCTGCCTGTCGTCCTTCGCTCCCCCTGCTGCGGGATGTTTTCCGGTGTCCAACGCCGCGTGTGCCGCGCGCTGTGTGCAGCATGTGCCGTGTGTGCCAGCGTGTGACGGCGTGTGACGGCGTGCCTGCGGTCTGTGCCGGCAGTGACTGGAGCTCCGGGCCGACGCAGCAGCATCTCTCAGTCGTCACTACAGTATGGGGCGGACCCGCCCAGCAGCAAGCCCCGCCCACCAGCACCATGCACTTCCCGAATAAGGCGTACCAGCAGCACGGCGCGCCGGGGCCCGCCTACCAGCGCCAGGCGTGAGTACCAAGCGCCGGGTACCGGTACCGGGTACGGGTACTGCCCCTGGCGGTGCGTCGCGCACGTCGACTGACGACGAAGGCCTTAACGCGTCCGGCCTGGCCTCGGGCAGAAGGAGAACGCCGTTGGGGTCCGCACTGGTTGCCTGTAGGGCCTCTGCTCGAATTCCCCGGGGGATTCCCCGGCCCCGTTTGCAGGATGTACGGGGGATGCGGGTGACGGGGGATGTGGGTAGAGAGAAGACACGCGGCGTTGGCCAGATACTTTGCGGCCGCTGCGGTGGATTGTAGGCTCAAACTGGGCAGCCTTGACGAACGTATTTGGCGCGGTCTGAGACGGCAGAATTCTCGCATCACTCAGAAAAAAGCTCGAAGTCGTTGGTCTCAATTCTCACTTACAAATCTGAGCTGAACCTAACTGACAGACTGTTCTCTGTTGAGGGCCGTCAGCCTCAGTCGCTCAAATGTCAATGGGCCAATGACGCTCAGAATGACGCGACGTAACCATGGTAACGCTCTATGCCGCCAAATGCTTCGCTTCAGCGTGATTATGCTTCGGCAAACGGAAGCATCACTGCGCGGTGCGTGCTGCCCAGTGTCAATGGGCACGCCTTCGGTGCCGGAAGTGTAGCGGTTAACGAAGCTCTGCGTTAACCACTATGCGTCTGGGAAACCAGTGGTACGGGGTTCGATTCCCCGTGGTGCTCGCCCTTCCTTGCCAGGGTGAGAGGCAGGCGACGCCAAATGGCCTCAGCAGCTGAGTGCGTCGTAAAGCCCCAGTGACACACACACGCATACATCAATGGGCACGCCGCAAGCGTGCACCGTGCAGCCTGCGGTGTCGTAGTGGGCTGGTTTGGAACCGTCTTTGAGAGCGGAAGGGCGGCATACATCGAGGCGCCAGTGATAGCACTGTGCGGCGTGCGTCTGTCCAGCTTTGGCTTCGGGAGTGGATGCGTGGCGGCCAGATGCAAACCCAGGCACCACATGTCTGGAGAAGAGCCGGGATATGAACATCGGTCCCAAAACTAACGCGCTACGGTAGATCTGAAGAATGAGCGAGTGACGTGGAAATAGCACCCCCATTCCTCACCTGGATGCGCGCGTGGTGTCGGAACTGGTGTTCGCAAGGCCCAACGGACATAATTTCTGACTGCGGCCGGCGTGCAGTGTGGTCTGAATCTTCGGCGGGTGCGGGGTGGAGCGGTCGGTAGGGTGAGCCTGGGACCGAAGAGCCGGGCACGCAGCTGGTAAGGGGCACTTAACACACCGGGGCGCGGAGCTCCCAATGGTCAGCTGACGCAGCTGGAGGTGTCACTGGTCAGTTGACGCAGCTGGAGGTGTCAATGGTCAGTGACGCAGCTGGAGTGTCACTGGTCAGCTGACGCAGCTGGAGGGTGTCACTGGTCAGTTGACGCAGCTGGAGGTGTCACTGGTCAGTTGACGCAGCTGGAGGTGTCACTGGTCAGTTGACGCAGCTGGAGGGTGTCACTGGTCAGTTGACGCAGCTGGAGGTGTCACTGGTCAGTTGACGCAGTGGAGGGTGTCACTGGTCAGCTGACGCAGCTGGAGGGTCACTGGTCAGTACGCAGCTGGAGGGTGTCACTGGTCAGCTGACGCAGCTGGAGGGTGTCACTGGTCAGACGACGCAGAGGTGTCACTGGTCAGTTGACGCAGCTGGAGGGTGTCACTGGTCAGTTGACGCAGCTGGAGGGTGTCACTGGTCAGTGACGCAGCTGGAGGGTGTCACTGGTCAGTGACGCAGTGGAGGGTGTCACTGGTCAGCTGACGCAGCTGGAGGGTGTCACTGGTCAACCGACATGGCCAGGACGTGTCGCTTGTCAATCAACGTGAGCATCTAGGCGTCATATGTAAGAAATCACGCGCTTGTCGCGCCTGTCTCCCTCCTGCCGCCACCGGTGTTCAGTTGACCCAGGGCGCTTCAGCTTCGGTGCAACGCCACACTGAGCCGCGAAGAAAACCTTGTCGGCTCACAAGTCCGCCATCAACAGGGCGGCAGAGGCGCGGCCCGACCACTCAGAGAGCGCAGCGCCGTAGAGCTCCGTTGCCACCGTCCCAGCGGCCTGGCTTTCTGAGCCAGACCCGGACCAGACCCGACGCGGCGGTCCGGGGCCTGGCCCGGCGGTGGCCGCGGACGCCGCCGGTGAAGCGGTACCGCCGGGCCAGTGAGCGCGGCGACGCCTGCACAAAAGCGGGCCGCCGGAAGCGGGCGCCGGCGCGTTTTTGGGCGCGCGGCCCGGCGACCGGTCGCAGCCGGCGATCCGTATGCGTCGGAGCCGGCCGGCCATTTGACTATGCGTGGCCGGCGCGGAGAAAGTGCGGTGATAGTTGTTTTGGGTGGCGTCGGGCTGCCGCCCAGGGCCGCACGTGGGCCCGCCCCCGGGCGGTCCGGATCGCTGGCTGGCACGAGATTGGATGGAGCAGCTGGTACCGCGGTGGCCGCCCGTGCCACGCGACGCATATCTAGCGCAGATCTTCGCACTTTACCCGCAATGGCCCCTTGGGTGAGGCTTGATGGTAAGCGCCGGTGCCGATTGGGATCCGGTGCTTGACGCGTTGGTAGTCGGGTGGCTCCCGCCGCGACGGGTACCGGCGTGTTGTCTGCTGAGCCTCTCCGGTGGGTGGCGGCCTGCTGTTCCGGCTTCGTTTCGAATATCTGAATCCAGAGTGAGCGGGCTGAAGATCGAGCCGGCGATCGCCGGTCCGATCTGACCGGGCCTCGCGCCGGGCTGGGGGAACGAGCGGAGTGCGGCCTCTCACGGGCGGGCCTGTCGCCGCGTACGGCGGGGCGAGCGCGGCGCACACACCTGTCCTCCACACGCGTGGCGCCCAGCGCTGGCCAGTGACGTCGGCAGCCGTCCTCCACACGTGTGGCGCCCAGCGCTGGCCAGTGACGTTGGCAGCCGTCCTCCATGCGCGTGGCGCTCAGCGCTGGCCAGTGACGTCGGCAGCCGTCTTCCACGCGCGTGGCGCCCAGCGCTGGCCAGTGACGTCGGTAGCCGTCCTCCTTGCGCGTGGCGCCCAGCTCTGGACAGTGACGTCGACAGTCGTCCTCAACGCTCTTGCGGTGTCGCACCGCCAGCTGATCGGCGACCGATGCGGAACAGGCGTCGCTTGCGGAGCTGGTCACGAGCAGCCAGCAGCTGCAGCAGCCCGGCGGGGCCGGACACGGGCGTGCTGAACTCGACACCTGCACCGCCGGCCCCCGATCCCAGGGAACTCCGACCTTGACACGTGGCCGCTGGGACCAGGAAGAGAGATGTGGGGGGGAGGGGGAGGGGGGCGGGGGCGGCAGCCAGTCGCCCCGCCGCGGGACCTCCGGGCTCCGAGTGTTGAGTGCTCGTGCACGGCTCGTCGGCAGCCGGGCATGCGCGGTGAGCAAGAACACGAAGACCTTGAATATATTTGTTTGTGTAATGCCATTGTGGTGGCTGCTGCCGTTTGGTGCGCTCAGCGTTGTGATTGCGTCCAGGCCTCGTCTGGAGGTCGTAGGGAGAAGACCCCTGAGGAGAGGAGGGGCCCGCCCCGCCAGGGGAGGGAGGGGGCTGCCAGGGCGGAGAGGGATCCCGCTTGAGAGGAGGGAGTACCCACTAGAGGGGAGAGGGGTCCCACCAGCGGGAAGAGCTGGTCCGCCGGAGGGAAGACAGGACCCACCAGAGGGGAGAGAGAGGACCCACCAGGGAGAGAGAACCCATCAGAGGGGGACAGGACTCGCCATTGGGAACAGGGACCCTCCAGGATAGAGACTGGCATGAGCACCCCGGAAGAGCAGCCAGGGTTACGTGGGAAGGGAGATGAACAGAAGGAGAGTATGAAGAATGACACACGAGTGGGGCACAGAAATTTTTTTGCGGGCAGGCACATCAGAGACAGAAACAACTAGATAGTAAGAGGAGGAAGAGAGAGAGAGAGAGAGAGAGGGGGAGAGAGGTCACCATAACAGACAGGTGAAAGCGTCTTGCGTAGCAAACAAGCCGATAGCAAGCGTTCGTTCCCAAACAAAACATACTCTGCCGACCAGCGAAACCTGCATGCTAATCGCGGAATCCAGTTCGCCGTACCCCCACCCTCCCTCTCCCCTCTCCTCCCCTCTCTCCCTCTCCCTCTCTCCCTCTCTTTCTATCTTTCTCTCCCTTTCTCTCTTTCTCTCTTTCTCCTTTCTCTCTTTCTCTCTTATCTTCTTTCTCTCTCTTCTATCTCTATCTCTCTTCTCTCTCTCTCTTCTCTTCTCTCTCTCTCTCTCTCTCTCTCTCTCTCTCTCTCTCTCTCTCTCTCTGTCTCTCTCTCTTCTCTCCTCTCTCTCCTCTCTCTCTCTCTCTCTCTTATCTCTCTCTGTGGACTCGTCTCGGTCTCTGTCTCTGTCTCTTGTCCTGTCTCTGTCTCTGTCTATGTCTCTGTGCTCTGTCTATGTCTCTGTTCTGTCTCTGTCTTGTCTCGTCTCTGTCTCTGTCTCTGTCTCTGTCTCTGTCTCTGTCTCTGTCTCTGTCTCTGTCTCTGCTCTGTCTCTGTCTCTGTCTCTGTCTCTGTCTCTGTCTCTGTCTCTGTCTCTGTCTCTGTCTCTTGTCTCTGTCTCTGTCTCTGTCTCTGTCTCTGTCTCTGTCTCTGTCTGTCTCTGTCTCTGTCTCTGTCTCTGTCTCTGTCTCTGTCTCGTTCTCTGTCTCTGTCTCTGTCTCTGTCTCTGTCTCTCTGTCTCTGTCTCTGTCTCTGTCTCTGTCTCTGTCTCTGTCTCTGTCTCTGTCTCTGTCTCTGTCTCTGTCTCTGTCTCTGTCTCTGTCTCTGTCTCTTCTGTCTCTGTCTCTGGTCTCTGTCTCTGTCTCTGTCTCTTGTCTCTGTCTCTGTCTCGTCTCTGTCTCTGTCTCTGTCTCTGTCTCTGTCTCTGTCTCTGTCTCTGTCTCTGTCTCTGTCTCTGTCTCTGTCTCTGTCTCTGTCTCTGTCTCTGTCTCTGTCTCTGTCTCTGTCCTCTTGTCTCTGTCTCTCTC